GACAATCAGTATATTGGGAATGTTCAGGTTCCTAAATATTAATTTTGACACTGCTCTCACAAAGCAGAACCTTCATAAGAACTTTTCATTTCTCTTATCTACACGTTAGAGCTCCAAGACAGCATGTCTTATTCCAAGTCCTCCTCCCTCTCCCAAAGCCATCATCCTGTCAGCTTGGAGAGCTGAAGAACTAACTGAAGACTAACTGCTTTGTCAGGAAGGTGGTGTGATTGGGGTCAGTAATGCTCCACCTAACAAGGTATCCCAGTACCAATAACAAAGGGGAATTGGTCAAGTTTCCTTGACAGGAGCATATTTCTGGTATCTAACCAGTCTAGTTGTGAGGTTTTACTGGGAAATCTAAATAAATCCCATGAGAAGTGGGGATTAATCGTATGTTGGTTGGGAGAACGAGGAAGTCAAAGCAGGCTCTCCATGGGAAGATGAGCTAAGGGGATGTCCATTTCTGTCTTCACCTTGCTCCTCCATTATAATTCACCTCTCTCTTTTCATACATTTTTGAATGAGTTTCATCAAAAAACATCAAATACTTCTAAGTTTCATCAATGCTGGTTGTTAAAGTGTCTCAAAAGAAGCCCTGCTGAAATCCCATAACCTAATAATGTATTACTGTTATTTTGTTTTGTTCCTCTAAACCTAAGTTAGTAACAACAGTAATTTAGAAAATCTAAAACACTGTCAAATACATTACCACTCTGAATCTTCATATCAACTTTGTAAGGGACATAGAAGAGGTATTAAGAAAGGTTTAGGACACCAGCTAAAGTCAAACAGTTAATCACTATGATTCCAAGTCAATGACACTAATGTGTCCTTGTAGACTACCCATAACCCATCCTGAATCTTTAAAGACTTATGACCCAGCGATGACTTTAATTCTTTCCTATCTTCTGGTAACACACAGACTTTGTATTTCTAACACTGAACATATCCTGTCTTTGTTACATTTATAGATAAATGAGTCTTAACACAGTCAGTGAAAGTTCCTGAAGGGTAAGAACTGGGTCTTACTTATTTTCATATTCCCCAAAGCAACTTTTACTTGATGACTACTGCACTTCCCTGTTTATAAAGGTGGTCCACTATTTCTTTTAGAACTTAATAATAAAATATATTAACCTAAATACATATTCAGTGTTTGTGTGGCAGTTGTACTTTCAAAAAAAAGTTACACATCAGACTTTTGAATAAGAATTATAATGATCCCAGTTGTAACATTTTATTCTGAGAATATCAATGTAACTATATAGTAAATAGTATTTACTATTTGCAATTTCTTGCTTCTAAGGGAATAAAAACCTGTATTAAGTTTATAGGCTACTTATATTAATAGAGTAAACTTCAACTGAAAGGTAGGGAACTCAACTCTGATCCTATTTAGTACCACTAGGGGTATTTTTATTCTTTGCATTCTAGGAAGCAAAACAGGAAAAAGATACTGATCCCTAAAGTACTACCTAAAGATATTTACAACTCTGTAACCTACTTTTGACCATCTACTAAAGGCAAGGAAATGCTTGAGGGGGAAAGTTTTATTATTTAACTCAATGATACATAAAAAACATATTTTTTATTCTCACCTACATATAAAGCTCTATTGAGGGGAAAAAAGGATATGTATAATTCCAGTAAAGATCATGGAGTATTATTTCATGTTCTAGGGAAAAAGCCTAAAACATATAAACGTGAAGAAGAGAGATAAGGAAATTCTATATTTAATACATACTCAGAGCTCTGGCACATAAAACCAACCAAAAAGGCTAGGAGGCATTTTTCACTTTCTTTAGCATTTGAACAATTATCTTATTTGTAGACTCATTCTAAATTTGTATGTGATCTACATGTTTTAAACAAATAAGACTCTTATCAAAATGCTACTGAATGATTACATTCTTTCTTTTATATATTCTGATGCCTGAATCAAAAGCCCAATGTGACTGAGCCTCAAAGATTAATTTATAGGTGTGTCTGAGGAAAACAGAAAAATCCATTCAAAATGGAAGAAAGAAAGGGGGGAGGAAAGGAGAGAGTGAAAGTGAGAGTGAAAAGGTGAAGCCGCCCACCCCCACCCCACCCAGGGTGGCGCAGGCAGTTGAGCACAGCATTGTGAAAAGCTGTCCTCAGCCTCTGCAGGGCAAGTTCGATACCCAGCTAGGGAGCAACCCACATGGCACAGCAGACCTCTCCTGCCTCGCCCGCTGCTCCCCTCAGCAGTGTATTTCATCAGTCTGCCTGTTCTGTTCCCCGCTCTGTCTCCGGTAAATCCTCTCACCCTCCTGTGCATCTGGACTGTACCCCCGGTTCTTGTAGGCATGAATACATAAATCTTTAAAAAAAAAAAAAGAAAGAAAGCGAAGGTGGAAGGAGGGAAAAGAAGGGAGGGAAGGAGGGAAAAAGCAATGAATCAGGGAACTAATAGTTCATATTAGGAAAAAAAGATTATTTATGAAAATATTTCCTTTGGGAATCATTTTGTATAACTTCACTAAAATGCTAACACATGACTTGATTTACCATAATCCAATTTATAGCAAATCTTTTTTTAAAAAGATTTATTTATTTATTTATTTATTTGTTTGTTTGTTTATTTATACAAGCACTGGGTACAGTCAGAAGCGCTGGAGGGTGAGCGAATTCACCAGAGCCAGAGTGGGAAACTGTACAGGCAGACCAATGATACACTGCTGAGGGGAGCAGGGGGTGACAGGAGAGGTCTGTCGTGCCCCAGAGGCCGGGGATCGAACTGGTGCTGCAGAGGCTGCGGGCAGCTTCGCAGCCCAGCACTCAACCGCTGCACCACCGGGGAGGCCCTATAACATATCTTTAATGAACACACTTGTAATACAAAAGGCATTATCAGTATTTATAAAAACACTAATAATTTCTGAGGCAGATATCAAAGCTATGCAGCTAAAGTATCTCAGAGGAAATAAGAGTACCTTGATTCTACTTTCTGGTTCTAGTAACCCTGAATAGGTTCTAAATAAACTTAAGATAATTCTTCAAAAAGTTTTCCAGTGAAACTGATTCTACTCCACAACGACTTTGATGCTAATTATGTATTGCCACTTCCTAAATCATATCTTTTTCTCTCTGAACTCATTTTGCCAGAATCTTGTCTAAAACAGGCAGAATACATTTGCATAAAGATTCATCCATAGCAATAGATTATTTTTTAAAAAATCCACAATTTAGCAAAGGTGCCTCACACAGTTTGCAGGGTGATGCTTTGAGATTTGGAAGGGAATACAGGAGAGGCAGGTTTTATTTGCTTCTTTTACTGCATTTATTGTGCTCTGGTTAGATGCTCGGCACCGTGTAAGTAACCTGGAAGACACAAGCCCTGCTGCCATATGGAGTCTCCTTTAAGATAAATTAAAGAGCGAAGACTGGTGCTTCTTAAGGTTTTCCAGAGGAGGATAAACTTGTACTATGCCGGACAGTATAAAGTCCAGCCTAGATCAACTAGCTGACATTTCATCAAGTTTTTTATTTTACATCACGAAATATTTTCTTCATTTCTGTATCTGAAAATACTAGCAAAAAATTCCAGGTCCAGGAAAATGGGCCATGTTTATCCTGGCAGTTTACAAATGTCTGACTCACTTTCCCGGTTTACTCATAAATCAATTTCAGAAGTACTTGTAGGGAAAATATGAAAATAAATCTGATTGTTTTTAAGAATGTGGGCTTATTCTGTGCAAGGCTACTGTATGGACAAAGCTGCAGCTCCCTATCCCCATATTTTGTAACTATAAATTTGACAACATAATTTTCTTTCCAACTCTGTAACAGGGAAGCTAAAGATAAGGGAGATATCATAGTAAAAGTAATTTGAGATCTTCTGAGACATATGTAAATCCTAATTGGTATTTCATATTCCTGAAACAAAGATCTTTCTTTTGTGGAGCAGGAATAGCAAAACAAATAAGTTTTATAGAACCTGAAACAAAAGTCCTCAGGTACTTGCCATATTTGCTTTATTTAGTAATTCACAGAAGACTGGGGTTTAGGGAAAAGAGACCTATCAGAAGCAGGGATAGCCAACTATTCAACTCTATACAGTACCAACTCACCCTTTAAATCTCCTCCTTGTATCACCAGCTCTCCCCACAAACATTGCCAATTTTAAAATCGTTAACTACAACAAGTGATAGTTATAAATGGGAGCATACTTTCAATTTCAAGTGTGTCGTTATAAAAAAAATATTGGAACTGATGGAGTGTTAAGGTAGCTGCACAGAGACTCTTTGACTGGTCAAGAATTCTGTTGTGATTTAACAGCGGGTGTTTTAAAAACAGAAATATTCTAGTCTCTAAAAGTTACTCTTAGAAGTTATTTCTCCTCTCCAAACCTCTTTCAATTTTTCCTTTTAACTTTCTGACTTTAAAAGGGAAAAGCTACTTATGAAACTCTTATAAGACCTGATTTTCATCATAGAGTAAAAGGATAACATCTCAGTTGTTGCAAATTATAACCTAATAATAAATTCCACTATCAGTTTGTGTTTTAAAATCTGGAGACCAAATAAAGACAGTGAAAAATAAACTACATGTGAAAATCACTTTAAGACCTTTTATAGTCCTTAATAATTTTCCCTTGTGATTCCAGACCCATAAAAGAAGACAGGATGGTGTACACTAACTGCCAAGGATCAGAAAGCTAAAAACAACAAAACATGGTCAAATTCACAGTCTAGTACTCTTTCCATTTCCTCACATCACCTAAACATAGAAATCAACATGTTTTTACAGCATAGAGGATCTAAAATATTATATGCACTAATTTTTATATGCACTATTTCAAGTTTCTATTAATCATCAAAGATTGAAAATATTACTACCAAAATACTACATAAAATGCCCTATCCTAATAGGTTTATTATAACTATAGATTGCTAACCACAGTATTAGTTTATCAATCAGGCCACCTGTGGTCACTCTCACGAAGAATACAAGCTGGCTAGAATATTGAGTGCCTGCTTTGGCAGAATATATACTAAAGTTGGAATGACACAGAGAATATTAACAAGGCTCCTGCACAAGGATGGCACACAAATTTGGGAGGCATTCCATATTTTTAAAAAGATGAAATCTTGCCATTTCTGACAAGACGGATAGAACAAGAAGGGATTATGCTAAATAAGTCGGAAGGAGAAAGACAAATACCAGATGGTTTCACTCATACGTGCAATATGGAGAAACAAAACAAAGGAATAGACAAAACCAAACCAAACAAACCTTAAAAATCTGACTATAGAACTGAGTCTATTGGGGGGTGACATTGAGGGGAGAAGGAGGGTAAGGAACAAAGTATGGAGAGGGTGGCCCAAGGGACCATGGTGGAGGCATATAGATCCCTTGGTTGTGGGTTTTGGTGTGGTGAAGAGGTGTGGACATAATCCTCAGAATCACATGTGGTGTTGTATACCAAGTTACCTCAATAAAAAAGAATACAATTAAAAAAAAAAGAATGAAAAATAAACATCAGTCAGTATACCCTCCAAAGAGTATTTACATGATTCCAACAGATATCTTCACGGTTTTGTAAATGTTGATAATAGTAGTTTTACTAATATTTAAAGTACAATATAATTTGTGTTCTGCTTGTTAAAGATTTTCCTTTTGACATAAGTAAAGAAATATGTTTAATGAGTTTAATGATCCTGCAATTCTATTTCTGTGTATATATCAAAAGAAAAGGAAATCACTCTCTTGAAGAGAGAGTGAACACCCCCATGTTCATTGCAGCATTATTTACAATGGCCAAGGCATGGAAAGAACCTAAGTGTTTATTGGTGGGTGAATGGATAAAGAAAACATAAAGGACTACTAGTTAGTCATTAAAGGGGAAGAAATCCTGCCATTTGCAACAATATTGATAGATCTAGAGGGCATTGTGCTAAGTGAAATAAATCAGAGAGAGAAAAGGACAAAGACTGTATGATTCCACTTGTGTGAAATTTAATACTGAACTCATAGAAAAGGAGATTGGTAGTTGCCTAAGGAGGGGAGGAGTAGAGAGTAGGGGGAAAAGATGAAGATGATCAGAAGGTAAAAACATCCAGGTAAACATTATCCAGTAAAAAGACAAACAAGATCTAAGGATGTAATAAACGGCATGGTGACTGTAGTCATCGATACTCTGTGGACTATGTGAAAGTTGCTAGGAGGGTAAATCTTAAAAGCTCTTATCACAAGAAAAAAAATGATTGAACTATGTGAAGTGATGGATATTAACTAAACTCATTGTGGTAATCTTTTCTGTAATATATAAATATACCAAATCACTATGTCTTATACCTTAAACCAATACAATGTTACATATTAATTATATCCCAACAAAACAAAACAGTTTTGAGCAACCAAGCTATAAGACTAAATTATTATCCTATTCTCTCTCTATGAAATTGTCATATAAAAACCATCCAAATTTTAAAATGCAGGAAAAAAATAGCATTATAGCAATGGTTTTGGCAACTAATACAAATATCATGTTGGTTTTTTTCTGGGCTTTGTGAATTTGTGGTATGCGTCGACTTTTAAAAATTTACCAAGCTAAATATTTTTTATGAAATGAAAATTTAATTTGAAAGTTTAATGTTTCCTGTGTAGTACCAAGAACCAGTTGTAGGCAATTTCACTTTTAACTTTGGCCACACTCAATCTGAAGCAAAAACAAAGCAAAGAACTTTGACTCTTTGAATTAAAAACAAAATCACGCAATCATCCGAATGGAAACCCTCTACATGCCACCTGTTTTCAAAACAAAACATTTGTCTCTCATTTTTCAAACTTCAGAGTGAAGGACTCCTATTTCCCTGACAATTCCAGGCTTTGTTGCCACTCTTTTCACATGTTGTAGTTACACACCAACACAAAATTATTCCACCACATCTCTAGAACCTGGCTAACTCCTACTCATACTTTGGGTCTTGGCTTATAAATTACTTAAGTACATGTTTAGATAGATTTCTCCAGAAGAATTCCGAATATGTGTAAGATGTGTGTCAGGTACTACCAGTTTACCCATATTGTAATATGTTTAGCTTGTGCATTCAGTTGTCTGGCTTTCCCTGTAGGTGATGCCACCCCTGACAGGGCAGTGCTGCCTGGCTTCTTCATGTAGTCCAGCCTGGGCTGGACAGGCAAGTGCTTTTACTAAATTATTTTTATTTTAAGACTGCCACCAAATAAGGACACCAAGTAAGACTCTTTGACCAAAACCTTTTTGAAATGAGGTATGGAGAGAAGCCAATCACCTAGTTTAGGTCACTAAACGTAGCAAGCAGCAATCTATGTAAAAATGTACTCGAGTTAGGCACCTCTCACTAGTCAAATTAATTTGTTTCAATTTATTAAATAAGTGGGAAGAAGACAAGGAAACATAAAGTAGCCAAAGTGGTTACACTGCGGGTCTGAATAAATGTTTGATTTTTCAAATGAAAAAAAAAAAAAGCAAAAAGCAGAGAATTGCATTTAAATGGTTGACATTCTCCATTGGTAAGTCCACTCAAGAACATAACAATTAAAAAAGCATTTTGGAAGCTGGTTGTCATACATAGCCTAGATTAGTCATGATACTTAAAGGGAAAAAAATCAGTAAATGTCGAAGGATACTTCAAACCATTAAATACCAAGATTCCCATTCTTAATTATCATAAGGAATCTATTTGGAAGAAACAGGCCTATCATGCATAGTTCAGGTTTAGAAAATATCTGTGATAAAGAAAAATTGGCCATTTATCTGCTACTTTAGAATAGGCATGACATCTGTAGGTGAAGAGAAATATTATTTTTAACTGGAAGCATAATCTTTAATATTTTGTTTTACTTATTCAAACCACTAGAAAAGATATGGCTTCATATACAAATATAAAATAATGAAAGTGAAAAATAGAATTTAAGCTATCTATCACAAGCATGAGATAGCTATGCAATGATCAGATGTGCAAACTAATTCCTGTACTGCTGACAGATTTGAAGAGGAATCACTACATTCCAACTGCAGGTGCACATTATGTCAAGTGTGAATGAACAATAATAATTTTATGGCAGTGGTGCCAAGGGAAATATCCCAAGATTCTCTGAACATTCAGAACAATTACACATGCAGTTGATTTATGGCTAACTAGAGGAATAATGTCAAATTGCTTATTAAAATTCATTGTTTCTCTAATTCTAGAAATAGGCTAGTTTCACCAAAATGTACGTATATAATGTATGTAAACAGAAACAAAAGTGGATGGCAACCATACTTTTTATTGAAGTAAAACCACTGTAAGCTCAAACATAAATGTTTTTCTTCTTTTGGATATAAGATTAGCATCTAAATTATTTTAGTTATGATGACCACATGATGAGCTCTGTAAGCACATTGAAAATAGTCACTAATTAATTAAAAGTGTCAATTAAACAATTTAATTTAATGGCATAAAAAATATGATTTTATACAATATCTGCAGTCATAAAGATAAGATCTATTTAATTGAAATTAAAATTCTATGTTATCAGGAATGCAAATGACCAAGAAGAAAATACAATTGATAACTCTTTAGCACTGAAAGTTATATGAAGATTTCTGGAAGGACTGATAGGCTAGGGGGAGGAAAGAGGGTAAAGATATTAAAATCGGTCATTTTATTTAGTACCTAGACAATTCAGGTGAATCTCTATACCCTTAGTCATCATTCTGCTAGGTAAGAGGTTTGGCATGATTTCATTGGGAAGAATGTAAAATGGAAGGTAGAAGTGGTGGTACTATCCAGAGTTGCCATTTATAAGCTATGATCTTGAATAAAACACTTAAGTGTCTATAATACCAAGCCTCAGATTCCACATAAATAAAGGAAGGATGATTTCTAGAACCTATCTAATTGTATGTTAAGAATTAACTGTTTCTTGGGCCTCCCCAGTGGCGCAGCAGTTGAGCACTGGGCTGCAATGCTGCCCACAGCCTCTGCAGTGTCAGTTCAATCCCCGGCTACCCACTGGCGAGGGTCCCATATGGCGCGCAGACCAATCCTGCCACACCCACTGCTCCCCTCAGCAGTGTATTTTGTCAGTCTGCATGCTCTGCTTTCCGCTCTGACTCTGGTGAATTCTCTCACACTCCGCGCTTCTGACTGTATTCAGTGCTTGCATAAATAAATAAATCTTTAAAAAAAAAAAATTAACTGTTTCAAATTCAAGTTATCTTTAATCTTAACATTCTGCAGTTTCCTCCACATTACAAAAATATAATAGAAAGCATTAAAAAAATCAAAAAAAGCATATAATTGCAGCATTAGGCAAGGCCAAACTATGTACTGCTATCTACTGATAAGTCGAAGGAGGGCAACTTTTCACTTTTTTATTAACTGACCACCACCCAAAAAGTTACCTCTCCCTAAAAACAGTGAAGCAAAAGAATCTTGCTCTATTCTGGCTATACAGTCCACAATCAAGGAAGTCTGAAACTGAAAGTCCAAGACATTCAAGTTAGCCACAGTGAGCCTGGCAAGAGTTGCTTTGCTTCTACTAACTTTGATACCTAATTTGTTTTTATCAGCTGTAAACTACAGATCAGGTTAGTGGAAGATGTAACCTCAAAACGAAAGCTTGACTAGGTTCTAGATTAAGAAGTTCACTTTAAAAATCGATTTGAGTTACAAAGAAAAAAAATGTTGATATGTAGAATAAGACTCCTAAATCATCCAGAGGACAAAGAGCATTATAAGAAAATACTTTTCATTCATATATATGCCCTCTTACAAACTTAAAGTATTTTATAGAAATTACCCAATGAACTGTCCTGACACTTCTGTGAAGAGTCTAGTATTATTTGAAATTTTCCAGAGGTAGCAAAATGAAAGGACAGGAACTAAAGGTACTTACTTTGCCAATGACATAGCTCCCTATTTCACATCTAACAAAATGCTTTCATTAACAAAAATGTTTGGCTTCCCACAAAATATGAGTGCACAGACAATACATTATCTTGCTTAGCATTTCACCTAATCACTCAGTTTAGTATCTGCCATATGATAGGCACTCATATTTGCTCAGTGAATAAAGGTTATTAATAATAGCTAACAACTGCT